AATGTTTAACACTAGATAGCGCCATTATCTCAAAATAGTGAAATATGCCGTTACCGAGTTTTGGCGTCCGTAAACACTATTGTTCATTAATTTGAAATATTCTTTTTCAAACTCATTCATAGCTTCTGATCTAAGATTAGTATTAAAATCAATATACACTTTTAACCAATTAGATTGACTAAATTCTAACACTCTATGAATTTTCTCTATCTTTAAACCTAAATTAATATATAATTTTAGTGTTTCATAATGTATTATATATTTTTTCTTATCATACAAAGTTGTTAATAATTTTGGGAGTTGTTTGTTATCAAAATGTCTTTCTGGTGCTAAAGGGAAATCTGAATGTAGATCATGAAGTTCTTTAGGGTAAGATAAATTTCTAAATATTCATTGCATTTTATGTGTTTATCTATTACATACTTTTTTACACCCTTAGCTTTTTTAACTTCTTCGCTATTTGTTTTATACGCGTAAAGTTTAGGACGTAAAGCAATGAATTCTAATAATATTTCAGATTTAATTTAATCTTTAAATTTCCCTGGTTGATTTTTTTAAGATCACTATAACAATAATGATTTTTAGGATAGTTTGATGTATCAAAGTAAGAAAATAATTTATGTATTATGTCATCGAAAAAGTTAAAAGTTCTAATTTCATAAACTAGTGAATCGGTATCTGAATAGACAATATTAATTTTATTTCCATACATGTTTTTCATTATATCATAATGGAAATGATACATTATCGTTTTTGAAATATCTAATATTGCAACTTAATTTTTTCTTTATTCATGTGAATTGCCATTAAGTTTTTCGAGTATATAGTTCTATCTTGAAATGTCGCTTTACACATTAAACGATGGGCTTTTTTCTCGTTAGAAACTTGTGTCATTACATGCGTTTTCTTACACTTTCCATACATTTTCCAAACCCACTGTTAACCAATAACTTCCAAAATTGACGCTCAAACTCATTTCGTGACTTAACCCTCATATTTGTACATAACTCTATATATGGTGCCATCCATTTCGATTGTGAAAAACGAAGAATCCTATGAACTTTTTTTACTTTTAATCCATTGGCAATGGCTTGTTTTAAGTTTCTATAATGAACTACATAATATAATTTTGATTCTACTGTTGTTAATAGTTTTTTTACTTTAGAATTTGGTGGACATTTATTTTCAAGTAAAAATGGAAAATCGTTATGATTTTCATGTAATCGTTTGGGGTAAATAACATCTACTTCTAAAATATAACCATATTCAGCATCATCTTCAATTTGTGTTATATCTATCGATAAATCGTCAAACCATTCAAAATGTTTATAAGGTAAAGCGGATAGCATAGACTTTCCATATAGATTTACACAGTCCAGGTAAGCTAACCACGTTACAGGCTTATTCGAATCATAATTAATATTTTTGATATTAGGAATGT